CCTGAGTTCAGTTCCGCCCACCCTGACTTTAGTTTCCTCATCCTGAGTTCAGTTCCCCCCACCCTGAGTTCAGTTCCTCCTACCCTGAGTTCAGTCCCCCTATCCTGAGTTCAGTTCTGTTGATTCTTTCATTAATAAATCCCTTTGAACCTCCACCTGTGTTCGCACCTGGGTTTCGCGATCCCCCATCGTGACAGGTGAAGGATCAGAACCAGGTGGAGGACGGTTCTGGTTCTACGGGATCAGACCCAGAAGGAGGAAGGTTGTGGTCCTACGGGATCAGACCCAGGAGGAGGAAAGTTCTGGTTCTACGGGATCAGATCCAGGAGGAGGAAGGTTCTGGTCCTACGGGATCAGACTCAGGAGGAGGAAGGTTCCAGTTCTACAGGATCTGCTGCAGATGGTTTAGTTTGGTGAATTTTAAATGAAACACGAAGAAGAACGTTGCTTTGATTAAATGTCACATGTTACGCTCAGCCATGGTCGAACCATCTTGATGAAACCACGCCACAAATGACACGTTTAAGGGTCGTTGGAAGATGAAAATCTGACGGTTCTTTAAATGGACTCAGCCTCAGGAACACAGGTGAGCTTGTTAGTTGGACTTGAGCCTTTGGTTCTTATCCAGTTCTGTTGGCAGCAATCTGTGGAAGAACAGTGCAACGCATCGCTGCCGTACCTGGCGGCTGTGTCCGGTCTCCGTGGCCACCAGCTGCATGTTGTCATGGAGACAGAGGGTGACTCGGACCTTCTGCTCGACGCTGAAGGCCTCCAGACTGAACAGAACTCGGCAGCAGCTCTGAGAGTTCTGCAGCAGGTAGATGTGCAGCGGCTCCGACGGCACTGAACACAACACACACACATTAAATCCTGCCTTCTCATTGGCTGATGGTTATCGGTTCAGACCAACAGACGAACTTCTGCTGTGGCATATACAGACACCAGCTGCTGTGCTCTGATGTCAGAGAAACTACCAGAAGCACACATCACAGACACATCATCACACCTGTACTGAGTGGATAGCTGCCACATTAACTCCTTCCCCCCCCGTCAGGCTGCCAGCTAAGTCTAGCTCCGCTTGTCGTGTTCGTGTTTGCTGTCGGCCATGTTTCTTCTGCGTAGCTGCCATGAAGGCATGTTGTAGTGTGTGTTTCTACCTCTGTGCAGCCTTCACTGTCCTGTCTTGGTTGTACCAAGTCTTTGTTCATCTTTGTAAAAATGAGTAGCTTTCGTAAGATTGAGTTTGTCTGATAGTTTATAGTTGATTGTTACCAATCGTCCAGCCCCAGCTCTGTCGTATGTCCAGTTGATGTGTGGTTTACCCTCTGAACCAACGCACAGTAGCTAGCCCTGTGTTCCCTTTAACTTCCTGTGTCATCTGTTGTAAATATCATTATTGTAATTTCTTATTATTTGAAATTCCTATTTGCTGTCATTGTTGTTCTGTGTTCTGACATTTTAGAATCAAACAGCTGATTTATCCAGAAAATAATCCACAGATTAGTTCAGCTAATTTTTTTCCAGCTCATGAATCCATGTTGTGCTCTCATACATGCTGTGGGGATGACAGGACTTCAACAGGACTTGTCAATATTTCACTCTCTTCACAGTGAAGCCATAGAAAAAAATTTTTTTAGCTCCATAAACCTCCTTTCAAAAAGAGGTTCTTTAAAGAACCATTTCAGCAAGCAGTTCTGTAAAGAACCCCCAAAAGTGTTTCAAAGAGCCATTGAAAACTGGTTCCTTTAGACAGCATGAACAACATGTGTCCAAGAAGCCATTTTCACACAGTTCCTTGTGGACCCATCAGGTTCAGTTGGTCACAACCAGCCGTATGGCTCCAACAGCCCGTCTGCGTCCAAATGACATGCAGAAGTCTGCCAAGTGTGTCTTGAGAAACATTGAGGTCACAGATAGTTCATAAGCAGGTATGGAGGATTCTGGACATGTCCAACAAATTCTATGAATTCTCTGCGAACAGTGACGCCACAAGAGTAGCTTGCTCCTCCGCAAGGAGTTTACAAGTGAGACATGCAAATTTTAAGAAAAAATGTCATTTAATTTCAGTTTGAAAGCAAAACTACAGCAAATACACGAAGAGGTAGTCGGAACCATCGTCAACATAAGTGGCACTAAAAGAGTCACTGTCGGGTTTCAAGTGTGATTTCTGTTTGTATAAAGAAACACTGTCATCTACGACGTCGCCGGAATGAGGGAGGAAATGCCTCTTGTGTGTTAAGCACGGCGTACACACAACTCATGAACAAAAC